ATGTAGTGTTTTTATTTTAATTAAATTTACTTTGTTAAAATTTAAGTTTACATGGCTGTCTGGTTATATGTGTTGTATATATAATAATATCATTTATGAATCAATGTCATAAATTACATGCATTTTATACTGTGAAATTTTATTAGAATGGGATTTAATAGGGCTTTTTTAACAAATATTGTTAAAAAATAAATAAAATTTAGTAGTGGCCATTGTAAATCCATAATGACTAAGGCTATCTAACTACCTAATTTAATTATTTATAACTAACTGCTTACCCTTAAAAATTATTTCTGAGCATTAAAGCAAGTTATTGCCTTTCATTAATCTTTACTGTAGTCACAAGTTAAAACACAAAAATGTAAAAATTCATGTAAAACTTATTATTTGCATCTAGAGAGACTTAAAATAATGCAAAACAACTTATCACCTCTGGTGCTTTAGTGGCTTATTGCAACCTTAAAGTAGTATATAACCTGGGTTACAACCACTGGAACTCTACAAAAAACTATGACACTACCTGCATCAGACAGAGACCAACAAACTTTCAAAACTTGCTAAGCGTGCCTATATCAGGACTTTCAGGTTTGTTCTAATCAGCAGGTCTTTCTCTAGACAAGCAGCAGCAATGACAACATCCAGTCTTTTGGTTATGAATCATGCTGATTATGGTCTTGCTTCTCATTGTAGCCTATGCCGCTTGACATAAAACCTACCTATTTACTAAACCTCTAGATTGAGCAAGTATTTGACAAAATGAGACAGGAAAGAAAAACCAACATACAGCTGTTAGTAAAACGTAAATATAATGTCACATATCTTCTTTCAAATATGCCCAATTATTATGAGTGTAAAAAATCTAATTCTACGTGATAAATTTCATAAGTTTATTTTATTCTCAAATTTATTAATAATCATTAATTCATGTTTAATAATAATGCATCACACATACAGATCTATTTTATTTTTAGGATGGTATTACAAAAGTGAAGTTCAGGCATAGATAATATTTTTATTTTAATTTATTCAGTTCCCATTTAATCATAGGTCCTTAATTTTTTTCATTAATTGTTCTTAAAAGTCCTTAATGTCTGGGTGCAGAAATGTGTATGAACCCTGCTTTAATATGATTCCATTCCGGGCTTTTACCAATGCTTTGCGGTAAATCCTATGAGTTATCAATGCCTTCTGGTAAAAGTCCTCCAACTCTTTATTGCTTGAACAAATTTTAATCCTTCCGACCACTTTTTATTGTTTCTTTTCTTCACTTCCTATTGACTATCTTATTTGCTTCCATCCTAGTTGCCAAACTGTTCTCAACGTCCTGGTTCACCTGTTCGACAGAACATTGCAATTGACAGTGTCTCGGTTTACCATGAATTATTTTTATATCATTTTACATTTCACATAAACAGTTGATAATTTGGTTGCAAAATTCTCTCCCATTGTTAGAATTGAGAATGTTTGGACCTCCAAAAATCCAAAAGGCGATATGCTGCTTCGTCAGCTCTTTTACTATGTAAACTTCAGAGTAGGATGAATTTTGTAAGATGATCTTGATACACTAAAATGGATTTCATACCACGATTAGGATTGGGTTGCATATCTGTTAGGTCGACTTGTCATCGAGAATTCATTTCACTATGCATAACTGGTTTGATTACAATCTCCTTTTTTACAGTTTTTTGTTTTTTCTGGCATGGTTCAGATATTCTCAAATACTTGATATATTCTACTATTACATTCTTGTACTTGCGATTCAGTTCTTTAATCATGCGGGTTCTTCCATAATGGCCAACTGTGATATGAGCGTTGTGTATGACATTGCAGAATTCATAAATTGTAACATAATCAGCATATCTGCTTTTTCAGCACACTGTGGTGTTATAAGTTTGTCCTCTCCTCCAATATTTAGAATATCATTAGCATGCTATTTACTTACAGTTCATTACAGAATCCTGTATGTTTTTCCATCAAACATTTTGCTTGTTTCACTTTGTAAGATGATCTTGATACACTAAAATGGATTTCATACCACAATTAGGATTGGGTTGCATATCTGTTAGGTCTGTTAGGTCGATCGAGAATTCATTTCACTATGCATAACTTGTTTGATTACAGTCTTCTTTTTCACAGTTTTTTGTTTTTTCTGGCATAGTTCAGATATTCTCAAATACTTGATATATTCTACTATTACATTCTTGTACTTGCGATTCAGTTCTTTAATCATGCGGGTTCTTCCATAATGGCCAACTGTGATATGAGCATCGTGTATGACAGATTGCAGAATTCATAAATTGTAACATAATCAGCATATCTGTTTTTTCAGCACACTGTGGTGCTATAAGTTTGTCCTCTCCTCCAATATTTAGAATATCATTAGCATGCTACTTACTTACAGTTCATTACAGAATCCTGTATGTTTTTCCATCAAACATTTTGCTTCTTTCACTTCATTCTTCTCATTTGTTAAGTAAAAGCTGTTATCCTGCTTATTTTTTACAGATTCAGACAAAATGTCATAAAACATTTTCTGCATAACATCACTAATCTCCTTTCAGCAAAATAAAACATGCAAAATATGTTAAAATGGAAACAAACTGTTTCTATTTTAGATCATAGCTGCCCACACTTGTTTGAATTTGCTCGAAGCTAGACTGCAAATGGTGAAATTAAGGAGAGACAGGAACAGAAAAGTGTCGCCATGAAAATTGCATATGCAGGCTTATTCAAGATCGATTTAAATTCCTCGTTTTGGGCTTTTATGGGAAGTCTATGGTAACTCCCATGATTTACTGCAAAGGCTTGCTAAAAGCCTGTAATGGAATCATATTAAAGCATACTTCGATCTTTTAACAAGGCACTTTGGTAAAAGCTAGGTTTTTATCGGTGAAACCTAGGATTTACCAGACTTCGGGCATTTACAGTAACAGTACAGCAATTTGATTTTATTCAAAATAACTTCAGAGAATCGCACAAATTTTGATACATAAAATTCAATTATTTACTAAGTATAACTTCATTGAATACGAAATTTCATTTTCTTCTGTTGTAGAGTCATTAGGATTTTTGGAAGCAGAAAAGATGAAAAATATGCAACCGCCTTCGCCGGAAATCGAACCACGGACCTCTGGAATACTGGCCCAGCGTGCTACTGTTACACCACAAAGGCACGCTAGGGAAGTGGGAGAAATACCTTATATACTCCCTTTTTAAAGGGCGGCTAGGGTTTTAGGGGACCTAGTCACCAAATCCTGGGTGCAGAGAATCATCATCCACAACCCTTTTAGTTCGGGCGCCACTTTTAGAGTCATTAGGATTTTTGGAAGCAGAAAAGATGAAAAATATGCAACTGCCTTCACTGGGAATCGAACCACGGACCTCTGGAATAATGGCCCAGCGTGCTACCGTTACACCATGGAGGCACGCTAGGGAAGTGGGAGAAATACCTTATACTGTTAGGGAAAGCACCATATTTCTGAAGAAATGCAACACTTTTTTTTTTAGCCAGCAAAATCCATAATCACATTACAATTTCTTACAAGGAAAAAATGCAACAAAAGCATTAATGATCATGAAACTTGAACTTGGAAACTGGCATTTGTCTAATACACTTTACTGTGTATTAGACATATTTGTCTAATACGCAAGCCTGGGTTGCCACATAAATACATTTTCACAATGCCATGGCTTGCATATATTTGGTGACATAATGCATTGCCTCATGAATACTTTTTGGGGGTGTGTGGATAATCAGAAAGTACTAATGAAACTTTGCTTGCCATTAATTTAAAATAACTCAGTATCTTTTAAAAGATAAACTGCTCAGTTTGCTTTCTGTAAAAGCATATTTTACTGTGCAAATAATGATTCGATGACTGTGACTCCGCTGATCTTCAGTTTTCTTGATTACTATGCCTTCTGTCCCATAATAACAGTAGCATTTGTTTAATTTAATTTGTCCCAAAAATAAAAGTAGTAAAAGAAAATAAATATAGAACACAACATTTATTATAAAAAATAGATTAAATTAAAACTAATTCTCCTAATTAAAAAAAAAAAAAAAATACTCCGAATTTTTTTTTGAGTATTCAGATCTGGATTTTTCAATAGTTTTGTTATTGCATTTTAAAACTTGTAGGTAGAATCTCTTGGCTGTGAAATAATGATTCCTTATATGTGTCATATAAGGAATCATTATTTCACAGCCTTGGCTTTCCTTATATGTGTCAGCTTAAAATTATTGCAGCCACAGTTTCATTGCTTCCAGAACAATTTTCTGAGGTGACAGAAACAAGAAACATCTTATATCTTGGCTACAAAGCTTTGCTTTCCCTATATGTGGGAGCTCAAAATTATTGGAGATATAGTTCTTCATTGCTTCCAGCATAACTTGTTGAAGTGACAGAAATAAGAAACATCTTATTCAGTATTTTGGGAGAAATATCACCAAAGGCTATGTTAACTGCTTCTATGGTGCCTCTTCTGCCAAGAAATATATGTCTCAAGTTTTTCTCTATAATCTTTACCTTAATGTCCACAGTTTTTTTTTTTTTTTTTTTTTTTTTACAGAGAATAAATATTAACATAAATTTCACCTTGATAGTTATTTACAGAAGTACACTTCTAAATTTTTGATATGGTCATTCTGTTGCACTTAAATAGTTTTGAAGCTAATTTAATTGCACCTTTTCTTTTCTTTTTTAATGCAACAAGAACTGGACAATCTCAATTTGATCTTTGCTCAAAAACACTCTTTTTTTACATCTTACTTTTACAATAAGTTATATTTAACTGAAGTAAAACACTTGATTTTGGTCAGTGGATGAAATTTGAATATACTTATAGTTCATAATTAATTAGGTTAACCTAAAATTGAATTGGAAGGATATTAATAAAATTTAAAAGAGCAATTATACCTTTTCATCAAACTAATTTAAGTAAAAACATTATGATATTTTTCAGTAATAATATCAACAGCATCACAATTAACTAACTACCTGTCCATGTAGTAATATTTGTTACAACAAAAGCTTTGCATTTCAAGTCAGACCAGCAAATTTCTGCTGCTTCTTCAGAATCAAGAACAGATGTCTTACAACCATAACCAGAGACAGTCAGCTGGCATCTATAATCAAAATCGTCAGATACATCCTTGAAGTTATACGTTTTGTAACCTACAAAAGAAAAAATCTTACAAAATCGAAACTAAATGAAGGATTTCTTGCTTTATATGAAATTACAATATCAAAAATAGTATTTTATTACAGTTTTAAAGATATGTTGTTTTCATATATTAACACTTTATTAAATAAACAAAATAATTATTTTCTAATAGAAGAAATAATGAAGCATTTTATCTGTGTATCATAGTTGTCTTACATGCAGCACTTATATTGCTAAAATTCTATAATTAAGGTAATAAAATTCTGTTGTTATGCTTTTATAATATTGGCTCTACTCTTATATACGCTCTAAGATCACCAAATGTGGCAATATGTGTTCTGCACTGGTTTTGGCTGCGATTGCATGCTGTGGGATGGTTTGGGGCATGATGCTGTATGTATGGCAACCCTTTTGACGTTGAAACTTAACTCTTTTGCTGCAGTGGTTTAATTGCTCACTGGTTAGTGTTGGCATGTTTAGAAATGGCCTAAGTTGCAATGAGAGACATGGTGGCACGATTTCAGTCGCGTATTTTAGATTGTGTGCAAAGTAAATTTAGTATTAAAAGGTACGATGTTAGTGTTGTTTAATGAGTCTTTTGTTCACGGGTGTGTTTATGTGGATTGAAGTGTATTTTTGGAATTTCTGTGGGAGTCAGGACTACTTTTAAAACAGAATTTGGCGTATCTGAAATGCAGAGCTGATATGAGAACTCGGACAAGGAATAGTATTTCTGATAGACTTGTGCGGGTTTGCAGTCAAATGGTTGCTGGTAAAGTATGTGGTTGTCAGCGGAGTTTAAGATTTGAGTCACGGTTTTTCATGTAGTAAGTTAACTTTGGAGGAAGTTTTTATCATTACTTTCGGAATTTTGAATCACAGAAAGACATGTGATATAGCAAAATCGTGGCAATTTTGTTCACAGACATTGTGTGACTGGCGAAATTTTATTCACGAATGTATTATGGAAAGTGCATTTTATTTTATTGTTTTTATTTTGTAGAATGTTATGTTCATTGTTTTTTTTTTTTTTTTTTACTGTGAATTTCTGTTGTTATTGTTTTTTTTAATGTTTGCAATTTATTTTGTTATTTTAGATTATTTTGTTGATTTGTGTCCAATGTCTAGATTGTACAATTCATAGATGTTTTTTTAAGTTTAAACAGAATGCTGTGTACATGGTATTCTTTGAAATTTATTGTTGTTATGTTAATTTATTAAAGCGAGGTGTGCATAGTTCGTAGATTTTTTCGCTGCCTTGATTGTGCAATTTGTAGATATTTTTTTAAGTTTTTTAAGTTAAAACATATCTCTGTATACATGGATTCTTGTCAAATACTTTTGGTTAGAAACTTTACGTTTTTGCTATCTAAATTTTTTGTTTTTGTTTCGGGTTTTTAGCTTAAATTGTATGTTCGAAATGTGGTTTTGCATGTGCGAAAACTGCATTTTTGGAGACATTTTAGGCTTAAAGTTTGAAATGTAGACAAAAAATTTAGATAGTAATATGGCACCGTGGAGTTTCTCGCCAAATATTTTTGGTGAGAAATTTGTTGCCAAGCGAGGGCATATATAAGAGTAGTACCATAATATTTATCGACAAATTTCATTCTCTTATTGTATTCTGCAGAAAAATCTAACAAATATAATATTTCAATTTAAAAATATCTGCATATTTTATTTCAAATCACAGAAGATCTTTTCAATATGTTTATTTCAATGAATGAGTTTTTTTTTTTTTTTTTTTTTTTTTTTGTAATGGAAAATAGAAATAAAATTATAAATCTAATTTTAGCTTGGTCTCCAATTTTTGAAAACACTACAATAAAAGCTTCTAAAAGTCTGTCATGCTTCTTAAAAATTTTGAAATATAAGCCAAAATTACCAGATAAGAATCCTGTTTCAGATGTATTTCTGTTTCTATATAAGCCACTCTTAAAAGCATTTGTCAAATCTTCCATTTCTTTCAAAATGTTTCTGGCATCCAGTAAAGCAAACTGATATGCAGTAGTAATCTTGTTGGCTAGAAAATATAAACGTGTTGGGGCACCATGAGGCAAGATATGCTTAATAAAGTGACCCCCAGTTCTAATTATATTAATTTTTTCATTGTAGCCATGGCACACATTATTTACACAAGGAATGCAAATTGTTTTATTCTCAACCAACAATGCTGGTGAACAACAAGGTTTGCCATCACATCTTGGCTCACTGAGGCCTACATCATCCACATCGATCAACTTTGGTTCTCCATCTACAATAACGAACTGCTGTCTTCTAAAATCATTCAGAGCAATAGGTTCTTGGAAAGATGCTAAGTGATTTAGAAGCCTTGACAGACCCAAACTTATCTGAAAATTCAAAGAAAGCAAAATAAAAGTTTTAAATATTTAAAATTCAGTATGAAAGGTCTAATCGGTTTTTATGAATGTATTTGTGAAATTTTAATCTTTTAATCCTAAAGTATATCTAAAAAAAATTTTTTTCCCTTAAAGATTAAAGACCTTTCGTTTATGAGAATTATGATCCTAAAAAATATAATCAAAGGCCTTAGCCTTTTCACTTAAATTAAACACAATTATATTAAATCTATTCTAATACTACAGAAGTGCACACATTTTAAACGAAAAATATAATTTCCACATGATAATTATAAAATCATTAGCAAATAAATTATTATCATTATATTCATATATAAATTATTCATAAAAATCGTAATTTTTTGAGTGAAATCGGCTAATACAAGTTCTGATTAATCAAATTTACCAGTATATTCAATTTTTATTAACATGTTCTAATGTGACTACACAAACTTATATTTTTACACTAGCAGCATTGTTGATACCAATTTATGCTATTATGTAACAATTGGTTGTATCAGACAAAAAGATAATGAGAATAATGCAATACATGTAAACTCGCAAAATGCAATGCAAAGATCTTAACAAACCCTTCTCGCTCCAATTTATAGAAAGAAAAGTAACAATAGTTGACTTTTTCATACAGTGCAGTAAAAGTTGACCTTCAAAATACATTTAGCTAATGTACTGTACATACTGTACAAATTGCTACAGTTAATTTTGATCTTTTTCTTAATTAAATTCACATGGTGAACATTTTTTAATAATTTATATACACTTGCAATTTAATGTGATATTGTCTTGTTACAATATATTTCTCGCTGCAGTTATACAAGGAAACAAGTTGCATTGATAAATAGTCATATTTACAGGAATTCTAGTCAAAACTTAATAAAGTATTGTATCTGCAATGCAGTTTCTTTTAGAAACATGCTCCTACTATAGAAGATAGCCTTGTACTTGTGTATTCTATCATGACCAAATAGTGGACTTAACCTATACAGTCAAAAGACCTTAATCCGGACGCCCATAATCCGGAATGATCTGTAATCCGGACCTCAAAGCTGCAAACTTTCTGCGCATGCGTAAGTGCATTAAAAAGTAAGCTTGAACTTTCGATTATGTCAAAAAGAGTTTCCAATTCTGGAGCTGGCAAAGGATCTACAATGCGAAAGCACGTTTCGATGTCCATTAAGCAAAAAGTGGAATTGCTGCAGAAAATGGATAAAGGTATGAAGAAAGTGACTGAGTGGTGATTGTTTCTCTAACCATTCCGAAATCTGTTTATCAATTTCACGCTGGTCTGTGGGGGGGGGATGTCGTGGCGTGCAATGAACTGAAAGTTGATCTGTCAGCATTTTCCTTATCTTCAGGGTAGATGTTTTTATTTTATTCTGCTTATAATTCCTCACTAAATGTAGTGTTTCATCTCTGTGTACTCCGATATAATTTAAATCAATTTCTCATCATTATAAATATCACGAATACACATCAAATAGTTTTCTGGTAGCAATTTTCTAATTTCGACTATGCATAATGTATGCTTTACACATGCATGTGTTGAAAGAAATGTTTAATAAAGTAAACAAATAAATATGAAGTTTTTTTTTTGTAAACTTTGATACCCTTTAGATCATAATTGTCCTTTATTTAATAAATTACGATTTCATATTTTTAATTTTATAATTTCTGCATGCCATCTTACCAGATTTAAACTGATGATCTGTAATCCAGAAAAACCCATAATCCGGAATCGCCGAAGTCCCGATGAGTCCGGATTAAAGACTTTTGACTGTATATATATTTTTTTTATGCACCAGCAGCATTACATTTTTGACTTGATATTAATTCATATTCATTTCTAAGTAATATGTTAATAAATGTTATTCAAAGTGGCACATGATAAATGTATGTTTTTTTTCCTTTGTTCTAGATAAAAGATAATTATATTAATCATTAGATATCATTATATTATATTTCTTTATTTATCTATTTAATCATAGCTAAGATTCAGTAACTTTAAAAAGAATGTTCTTAATTTAAACCTTTCTAAATAAATTCCTCTCATTACATTAATTTTTCTTTAATAAATAAATTATTATGATTTTATCCCAAGTTTGTTGTTTCATGCATCTTCATGCATTGTATGTTGTTCCAATCATCTAAAACCTTGGAGTTATTCACCACTTAATCGAATTCCAGCCTGAAAATCCCATGAAAATTTTTTTATAAAGAAGTTGGCAACTATAATTGTAATTTTCTCAGTCATAGTACAAATTTCAATAAATATAAAGAAGCACAAAGTCTTTTTACTCTTAGCCTATCTTCCCATGGTAACTGTAAGAGTTTGATGACATTGATGGGTTCACCATATTCTTCAAAAATAGCAACTGTGTGTTGAGGATTCTGAACATCTGGATCAGCTGGAACACAATAACCTAAAATCTAGTAAAATATATTGTATGTTAAAATAAATACTATGACACTTATTTAAAAGTATATACAATGAAATTTGAATCATGAAATATAAATTTATTGTATGCTACATTTCAGAACTTAAATAGAACTGGAGCCCCAATGCTTTGTAATTTTTTAGATAAATCATAATTCTATCCAGAGCCTTAAATAAGAGGGTTCAGGCATTTCTTTTATATAACTGAACCACAATTTCAACAGAAAAGTCTTCTTTTCATCAATTCTAACTATTGAATGCATGTCTCTCTTGCCTTGGGAAATAAACCCTTGAACAAAAGCAAGAGTTTTCAGAAAACATTTTCCCACCAGTATGTCAAATGCTTATTCTCCACGAAGTGAATATACTTGTGACAGCAAGTAAATTTTTCTTTCCCGTCGAAAAAATCACATACACAGACTTTTTGGAATCATGTAACCAAATACAGGAAGATGAAAATTGTCACTTGTTACTTTGTTCTGAACTAAGTCTGGAATTCTAGGGAAAAATTTTCCCCCTGTCACATTTTGCTTGACAGTTGAAATTATATCAGCTTGGGATCCTGGTCAGAAAGTGTTGGATACTTCTCTCTTTGTTTTCTACACATCATCCATTACTCCATTACTGTTAATAACATTTTCCCTTAACATCAGTAAAGAAACAATCTTGTATTTGGCATAGATTTAGACAAAAAACTCAATTGATTTCAAAGAAATTTACAAGACTGGAAAGCAGCTAAGTTCTACTGAAAATGCTGTTGAATAATTAGCAGGATTAGCAAGTTTTGTCCTGGCTGTCTGAGATAGTTACTATAGAGTGCTGAAAGTGAGACCATCACTCAGAATTGTAAATGTTGAACTGGAAAGCAGCAGGTGTAACAGTTCTGTTTATACTTTACTGCAGTAAAATAAACAGGAAGGTAGTGCCATACCTTGGCAAGATTGAGAAATTAATTAAATAACAAAAATTGAGAAATTAAAAGTTAATAAAATTTTAAAAGCGTTAGGAAGGATTGGGTTGGATTTAAAGTCAGTCTAAACAAACTAAATCTTTGTTAATGTGAGAAGCTTCAAGAAAATTTAAATTCGCCAATGGAAGAAGCTTTTTGGATAATTTTTGCAGACCCAAAGTCAAAATTATGATTAGCTATCATAGACTTACTAATTTTGCTTTTTTGGACATAAGATTCATATTTCTTGATACAAAACTACAATGCCCTTTTGATTTGGCCAATCTATGACATGATATGCTAAATTCTCCAAGAGTTATAGCATTATATCAAATGTCAGAAATGGAATCTTTAAGAAATGGATTGTGGATTTTTATTTATAAATGAGAAAATGACGTGAAAATTGAACTTCTGAAGAATCTGTGCTTTAACTAACGGAAGGATGAAATGGAACTATGACAATGTTATTAATGTTATTTCTAACAGCGGAACATCTTCTTTGATGGCAAGTTGAAATTTTTTCAAAGCTCTATCAATGACCATGGGAGAAAATCCTTGGTCAACAGCAATTGATCTCAAATAATTGAGTTCATTAGCAAGCAATGGTTCTAAACTTTGGGAGTGTGAAATACATAATAGTAAAAAGAAGCTATTTTTTGGCTTAGCCGGGTGACATGACTTATGAGGCGATAAACAAACAGAAAAGTGTTTACAGTAAACAGTAGTCCTGAAATCAGATTCATTGCAAATCATAGGAATATCAAGGAAGGAGAGGATATTGTCAGTTTCAAAATATTGTCAGATTCAGTTTCAAAAGTGAACTGGATGGCAGGATCCTTCGAATTTATAATAGATAAAATCTGGGATAAATCTTCTTTATTACTAAGCACTACATTCTTTCTGTTCTTATTAGTGACACTTTAAAACTGTTTTAACTTTTTTCATTGATATGCTGAAATGAGAATCTTATATATATATATATATATTCATCCTTGAAGTAGTATATTATACTATATATTCAGTGCTTAAATTAATTGACAGGCAATTGTGCTATTTCTTACTTTTTTGTGTGAAATTGCAGTTCCAGCTCTAACCCCAAATAAAACAAGGTCCAATATTTCAGTTATTATTTAACTATTTACCATTCATTTAATAATTTATTAAATTTTTATTGATCTTTTTACATTGTATTGAATTTTAATTCTAATTATTAATTTTTTATATTAATAGTAATTTGTTTTATTTATTTTTGTTTCTCTTTTCCTAGTGGTCTTCCATAGGGCTCCGGCACATTTAATTTTAAAAATTAAGCTTTGCTACACACAACAAGTATTACACTAAATTGACAAACTTACATCAAACATACTTCTAAATTTTAAAACCAAGTTATGTTATTATTTAGCAGTTTATTTTATTCATAAGTCATTTGCCATTAGTGAAGGTATACTGAAAATTGTACAGAATTTGCACATAATGATATTACAAATGAAAAAAATATACATGAATTTAATTTTCAACTTTCATTTCTAATTTAATATGCAATACTTTTTCTATCAATAGCAGATATTAAGTACAAGGCATGTTTTTAAAGTAAGTACCATTTTGCAGCAGCGCTGTGGTTAGCATTCTGCACTTTTTACCTACATCATTGACAAGCCACAGGTGCCATTATGGGAAACCTTCAACCATGTTAACATTATTGTTTTTAAGTATTTAAAATGGCTGTGATGATTAAGAACCCTGCCAAATGATGAATGTATGATTATTGATTCATTTTCTTAATGCTAAAGACATGATAGCAGCTAAAATTCATCATCAGATTAGCAAAATGTACACAGAATGCATTATAAGTGATGAAATGATACAGAAATAGTTTAGAGCTATTAAAGATGATCCCAAGAATGTTCACAATGCTGAACAAAGTGGGTAACCTTCTGTCATTACTGAAGATTTGGTGCAGAAAGTTGACGAATGAGTAAAACAAAATGAACACATTATAATTTTGTCATTATCGGATGACTTTTCTTGGGTTTCATACAATGTTCTGTATAAAATTGTGAGTAAATTTTTAAATTATCAAAAACTGTGTGCATGCTGGGTATCGAAAATGCTGACAGAGGTGTACAAAACCAAATGTTTAGGTAGTGATTTACCTTCAGCAGGACAATGAGGAAGGTGAACTGTCACAGGAAACTGTCACAGGAAACTGTGTGAAGGAAACTGTCACAGGCGATGAAACATGTGTGGCTTATACTCACCACAACCGAAGCAGCAATCCATGGAATGGCAGCATTCATCAACACCCAAAAGAATGAAGTTTGAAAAGTTTCAAACCAGAAAAATCATGTACAATGTGTTTTGGTACAGCAAAGGAGTATTGCTTGGATTTTTTGCGTCATGGTGACATAATAAATTCTATGACATATTGTGAGACCGTAAACAAACTGTGCAGTGCAATCCAAAACAAAAGGAGTGACCTGCTGAGTAGAGGATCATTTTGCTTCATGATAATGCCTGTCCACATGCAGTAAATGAACTCAAAATCTCATCGCATTGTTTCACTGGGAACAATTTGATCACCCTGTGAACAGTTCCGATCTAGTGTCCATTGACTACCACCTGTTCCTGCATTTGAAAAAGCATCTGGGCGGTTCTCCTTATAACAACAATGATGAGGTTACAATGACCGTATTGCAAAGTGTGTTAAATCAGGCAGCAAACTTCTATGAAGAGCGGGTTAAAAAACTGGTTGTACGATATGATAAGTGCCTTAATACTGGCAGAAATTATTAAGAAAAATATGCAGAGGTACAGCCTGTCATATAAAAATAAAATTGCAAGAAAATTTAGTACATCCTTATTATAGTGGGCTCCAAAATTTTATCGCTAATCAACCGAGATATAACATACAGCAAGGTATAAGAACACATGGCAAGTTATCTTGATTTATTAGTGATATAGTCTTGTGGGTAACTTATAATAAGAAAGGACTGAAAATTCTACTTGTTTCTTTTCTATATTTCTAAACTTACTTTAAAAACTGTTACTTATTGCCTCATACAGTTTTTAAGCCCTTAAAATTATTTTTAAAATGTATATTTTGTTAAATCTGAAATTTAGCTTATGCTCCATTACAATATGACACATTATTTAGGCAGTAAGAAGCCTAGCTTCAGGCTAGAAGCAGAATCTGTACATTTTGATATCATTTTAAACAGTCTGCATTTTAAAAGTATTGGTAAACATATTTCATTGAAGTAAAAATTAAAATATTGCTTTATATATTTAAATATTAAACTCATTTTGTCGAAAGAATTTCGAAAATTTTCATCATAATGCACACTCTTCGATAATACCAATTTAAATATGAATAAGAACAGTAAAATTCAAAATTTTGTGATGGAAAATATGTATGATAATAATGCAAAAGAGAAATGATTTACATGTTTCCTGAATTACATTAAGTACTGCATCTGTTACAAATGGTATACTTCATAAATGATTTATAAATTTGGCATATTTTCTGTGATTTCACTCTTCCTACAGCCTTCAGCCCTGGTTTATAGTTATACAGTACAAAGACCGAGATCTGGAATCGTCGGAATTTCAGCGATTCCAGACGTTTGCAAATATCTGGATCTTATATCATCAATTTAAACTTAGTAAGATCACACATAAATACTGCAACATTTGTACTTCACTTTTTGTTTGTGTCAGATAGAAAAATACTAATCTTTCCCTTCCCCAAGAACACACACCACTCAAGGGCCGAAAGTGTGATCCTGACCAACATTTATGCAACATCAAAGTACTGTCATAGGGCACTATGCTACTTCCTAGTTAGCAGCCATTTGAGGAATCTTAGTTAAAAGAAACCACATTTATGGCATACGTTTCCATAATTATAAGCAGGAGAGGAAGATTTTTTTTAGTCCAAAAGAGCAATTTGCCCAGAAAGACTATTAATTTCGTTTTGGCATTTTGTGTTGAAATGTAGGTTCACTTTTGAAATTGCTGCCGCCAAATATTAGAGCCCTGTATTAT